CATTGGCGTAACCAGGGCCTCGAGGATCCTTTCTGTCGGAGACAGTGGCCGCTCCCGGGGCACTCTTTCTTTGCCTCATAGCAGACAATACCTTTTTCGCACCATCTTTCAGATCAAAACCCGTCAACATCGCATTCAGTCCCGGCGCCAATGTAATGGGTTGTCCAAACGATTGGCGTGCATACTCCAAAGGGCTTTCCGAAGTGATTGTGGGAAACGGGCGTTTCATTGTCTCTGGTATGATGTTTGCTGAGTTTTGTTCAGAGTCAAGACGCGGGCAATGACTCTTTTGGAGTTCTTGCAAATATTTCTCCCGGCGAGCTTTAGCGCTGCCCAAAATGAGCATTCTATCTCTTTCAACCACTTCCATAACCATTTGGGTTCTTGAAGGGCTCTTGGGTGCCGTTTCCAGCTCCTGAGGTGTTTCGGTCTCAAACGGTTCAGACTCAGTATGTTTGCGTGCGGCGTCATGTTTATTCCCAGAATCAGTTGTATCTGAGTCCAAGAGTCTAATTGCACCGTGCTCTTGATATCTAGACGAACCCTTCGGGTCTGCTGGAGACTTTTTGGACAAAATCAATCTGGGATTCGGCATCGCTCTCGATAACCACATTTCGTTGCTCGATGGCAAATGAACCGCTTTGGCTTGTAGATACTCCTGGATACTCGCCATGGCAGTATTCAATGGAACCATGTAAATATCTCCAAAAACATCGTCAGCGATGACGTGGCCGTAAGGTTCGAGAGAGCGCGAGCCGACAACCCAAGAGCCGGAATCCCCATCGGAAACTATTGAGGTTATTAAGAGATGACTATGGGTTGATTGAGCTTCAGACTTACTTGAGCCTTTGTTCAATGTCACCATGTAAGCGTCCACGGGTAACATGTCAGGTCCAACCAGCAATCCTGCAAGCTGGTTCCACAACACACCATTTCTTGAACCTTTGTGACCCCCAATCAACTCTACCAGGATCTTGGATGACTCTGCAGTGACCATTCCGACTTTCGTGCTTAGTGGACGCTTTCTGATCTTTCCTTTTGTCTCCCTCGTACAAATCATGTTTGGAAGCAAAGACCCATGCCTCAATTCGTGCAACGCCCAATCGGAGTACTTGTTTGATTGGCTTCTTCCTGTGAAGGCCATTCCAAGACGCTGCCAGCGTTTATGGTCGACTATGCTTGGCACATGGCGTGAAAATCCAGATTCGTCATTATCTGAGCTTTCTGTCTCAGGTTCTGTTTCCGCTTCCGTTTCTGAGCTGCCCCAACAATCCATCATCTTCGATATTGCAAAGTCCTCAGGCTCCAGACTGGAAATGCCGTGGCCTGCAGTCATACCGTAGAATGTAGCTTCATTGCTTTTGTCCACAACTTTGATGACTCCGCCGAAAGTGGTATATCTAATGTCGTTCACAGGGTTGATGAGTCTCAGTGGCTGTCCACACAAAGTTTCGCCGGTGCCCGGGAAAGCTTCATATCCCGCCTCCGCAATCTCTACCCAGACGGTTGATAGCAGGGCTCTCAAGCGAGGTGGGCTGCCTTCGAGTATTACCTTGAACGAACACTTATCATTATCAGATGAATCCAACAGATCCCGAATGACTCTTTCCCTGTCGAATACTCGACGGACAGCTTTGAGTGACTTGTGGTCACAGAGGACGACTACGTAGTCATGCGCGTCGTCCCGGGTCGCTCCAAAGATCACATGTCGTATTGATACATTCCCAGGGCTCACGCCCCTCGCTCTTAGTTCATCACTTAGTAGTGGCAGGACTTTTCCTCTTAAGTCTTCAAAGCGTGCTCTGACACTCTGGTCTGAATCGTCCATGAACCGAAGCAAGGCTCTCCCCCCTAATTTGATTGGTGTCCCCTCTTTGAGCTTGGATGTCCTCCTTGTAGATGTATTAGGCGGGTTTGATGAGTATCCTGAGTCCGGCGAAATTTCATTATCCAAGTCTTGAGAGGATGTTGAGATGTAGGGGCCGTTGGATGTCTGTTCCGCTTCGGGCTTTTTGTTTCTGTTGGAAACCGTGTAGAGGACGTTTGATAACATGGTTGAACTGATCCTCACAAGTGGCTTGGACGAACATGATGAGGAGGTTCAAGAAATGCGAGTAGGCAGTACAGAGAGAGGAGGCAGTCTGTGGCATTTCCAACACGTGGATTGGTCGCCTTAAGTACTATGGCTGAGCGACGTGAATGAGGCGGCCGCCCGAATTTGATTGGTGAGATCCATCGAGGTGAGGGGTGAGTCTGCACGTACGTCGATCAAGATGAAGGCCATTGCCCAGCCTGATTCTGACGAAGACTCAACCAAAACACTCGCTTCTCGTATTTTTACAGCTTGCACTCCCGACTGTAAGAAATGTATATATCCTGGGAAGATTTCAACGAAACGGCTTCCTCACAATGGATTACGAGATGTCAAATATTTACATCTTGAACCAAACAACAGATGCTGAAATTCGAGAACTGTGTCACGCTTTGTGGGACTGGAATGCTTGCCAGAACTGCCAATCTTTGTATTCTTGCGATAATGCTGCGTGCCCTTGGTCGAGACTTACAAGTCTCAAGACCTACTTCGATTTCTACAAGGATACGACGGCCTGTTACGCACCCGAGACTTTTAATCCAGCATTGCGATCTCATGGAGACCTCATCGCCATTATCCGTTTCGTTCGAGACAGACCGAGCACCCGACGAGACGATCTAGTTGAAGAGTATTTTAACAGTCGAAACGAGATGGTACAAGTCAACGAAGAGGACAAACAACGTGCCTTCAACATGGCCGTTAGAATATTGCTGATGGTTAGCTGTTGTGCTGATAATCACAGCGGTAGCCTTCTCGGAGACACAGAGCCAAGCGTTTGGCATCGTGACGAAAGTCTGAACAACTTTGTCTCGGCAACATTTCCAAAAGGAGATCATCCAAGTCAGAACGAAGACAACATTTCTCTTCTTAGCCTGAGACAGACTATCAGGGCCACAAAACTGAAGAAGATTGCTCGTATCTCGTTTCGGGGCACAAATGACATCAGAAATCACCTCAAGCTCGATCAGACTAATGGAGTTGTCGAGCTGTATCATCACACGGCGGCGCTGAAAGAATGTCTAAAGGCATCGAAGACCAGCGCCAATAACTTAGCGAGGTAAAGCGTTCTTAGAAAACTGTTTTCGAGAAAGCTCTGCTAACTGTAAAAAGCAAAATTTTTCCGCGCCAATTGTTACTTGAAACAATAGATTCACTAGAAAGAATTCTATTTCCCATGGATAATGAATCTCTAAGCCTACTTCGATCTCTGGTTTCGGCGGAATCGCTTGACCCCGATTGCCAAGATAGGCGCTTTCAATCGTACCGACTCGACCACGAAAAGGAGACCACATACAACTATTGGGGCTCACGACTCATGGACCTCTGTGACGAAATCGAGAATCCGAAGCCACGCGGCGACTTCGGTTTATGGTTGAAGGCCAACAGCAAAGACAGGCACGTTATGCTGGCAACGCTTGTGGGGATCTCCGTCGCTATCTTGTTGGGTATTCTCAGTTTGGTAGTTGGACTATTCCAGGCCTGGGTCGCTTATGAAGCGTGGAAACATCCTGTCAATGATAGCCCTTAGGGGATCGACCTCCCCTCACTGAGACCGCCTATCTTTGGTGTTTATGTGACTACATCTCGCGTGTTCGGAAAAGTTACATGTGTGAGGCCCAGAGAGTCGACGAAAGCAGATACGGCGGCGACGGAAGAGATGTTAAATATCTCGCAGGATGTGCTGTTGCCGTAGCATAGTAAGCCTTCTTTGTTCCAGGCCGATTTGAAATACCGAGCAAATATTCGGAGCTGCCGAGTCCCAGGACAACATTGTTCTTAATTTTGGTCAGATGGACACCGAAGTCTTTCTGCTGGGAAGCGCAGGACACTTTCACCCATTGTTGCAGGCACCCTATCTTGGGTCTCCATGCTTCACATTTAGTCACTCTTATCGGATTGGCCTTCGTGCCATTGAGGAAAACAGCACAGATAGCTGCTCTGTCAATCCTGGTTGATAGTTATATCACTGCCTCTGCTCATTCCAATGAAAAAGTGGAAAATAATGAGCTGCAACAAATAGGCGGAGCTGCCTTCGGCCTAGGTAAGCTTACCGAAAAAGGGATACGATGTGGTCGGAGCTGTGAAGTCTTATGTCCGGGACCACGCCACCGATCTTACAAGACCAGGCCAAAATCCCTCGGATCGTAGCCGTAGTGGATTCCTTCTTTCCATTGTCCCGGATAGTGTGAGAATAGGTGACGACAGTGCTTAACATTCTTTTTCAATCTTGATGAACTGGTGAAAGACGGCTACCATGTCCAATCAGTTCGCATTTGTCGTTGTCGGCGACTCTGGCAAGACTAGATCCGCCGACCGATCAGTCATTCGCAGTCGATGCATGAAGGGAAAGAACCGACAAGAAGGGTCTCGAAGATCTTTGCAGGCTGCGCGGAAGGCTTTGAAAACTACTGGCTCGTCACAAACAGTCGAACATGAACGAGGCTCTCGGTCCGTCCCATCCAACTCGTCTCGGTCTTCAACAGATAACCCTTCAAGAACGAGGAGAGCTAGGAAATATCGACAACCCCTAACCACGGAAGATAGCTCAGAGGACGACCTGATCGCCTTGAAAGACCCGACGCCTTCTCTGCCTCCCACCGACATATGCCTGGTGCGGTTCGCAGATGACTTGGAGAGGCCTTCCCAGGAGGTTCTCTTTAGACGTAAGCCACCCCAACGTGTCGAAAGGTATCCAGATCTCATTATCTTCAGTATTTTCCTCTGCCACACTAAAGGAGACTTTTTACCCCGTCGAACATATCGTCAATCTGCCCCGCTCCCCGAATTCAGAAGCGTTATCCTTCTCTTGGATTTTGCAGGATCAGATCTTTCTCCACAGCATCTTGTTCTGCTCCTCAGCGATTCAAGACCGTACAAAATACGCGCCTTCAGGAAAGCTTACGCAATTTCACTTGCGACGCACCATTTCTCTGCTCAACAAGTCCCTGTCCCAGAAGAACTCGCACGAGAACGAGGCCATCTTCCATGTCATCTTGACACTGGCAATGATCGCGAGCTTGTGGGGCGACTTTGACTCTGCCGCTGTACACTTGTCAGGGCTGCAACAGATCGTTCGTCTACGCGGGGGACTTGAATACCTTCATAGGTTTCCCAAGTTGCATTTCAAGCTTGATCGGTGAGTCTCTAACGAACCGTAAGGGCACTAGAGGGCGAATCTCTGACACTGACCAGGCTTGCTCTCACGTGGGCCCTTGGGAGCGGAGGTATTCCGTCCTTCTTCACAGGCCCTGTATCGTGGAGTCCATACTTTGAAAGATCTCCCGAAACCCGCACAAATACCATCGAGGTAGGTCTGATCGAAGTGTTCGCCGATATCAGACTTGCCGTAGTCTTTAGAGACCTTAGACACCTGGTCTGTTTGGTCAACAACCACTTGGCGAACAACTCGCGGGTCGACGGCCTGCTGTTCCAAGACTGCTTGGGGTCCGTCCAGGCACGCCTCGTACACCTTCAAGGCGATCTTGAAGATGCCTCAGATGAGTGTCTTCGTCTAGGCATGCTCGCCTTCCTTTCAACGACACTGCAGATTCCGGGCGGAAAGTTTCCGTACGCATACCTTGCTGCGAAATTCCGCATGGCATGTAAGAACTTCATCATACGCACGCCGGTGCACGAGAAACTGCTGTTCTGGATGCTCATCGTAGGCTCCATATCCGTCTTTGAACCTGACGAGCTATCTTTACGGTCAGTCTGGTTCACACTAGCATATCCAAAGTTATCATGGCATGAGGCTCGTTCCACTTTGCAGACCATCATGTGGATAGATAGTATGCACGGGACGATGGGCCAATCCGCTTTCTCAAAGGCACGGGAGCTGGGTAACGGAGCCACCGAGGCAATTCTGGAGCCTTGAGTGGCTGATATGTCGAAATAGTCTTCATAAAAGGGTTAGACCAGATATGAAATAGCATACAGCAGGGTAAGACGGTTGTGAAGCCACAGATTGAGGTTTTCCTCCGACTTGCGGGGTGAAAGCCGCGGAAGGCAGCTCATAGCTATGTTCCACAGCACCTGGTAGATCTCTCAACGCAACAGGGGATGGGCCCTTAGGCCTGTGCGCTGCATACAAAGCGCGGAGACGGCAATTACTTTTTCCGGTACCAGCCAGTGGTCCCCAACTTCACCTCTGAATCTGGGGGCGGGCCCTTGTCACCTAATCAATCCACTGTTGCAGTTGCTCACCTTAACTTCACCTCTGGCACCAAGTTGATCAGCCCGTTCCACTCCGAACACCGACGCGAATTCTTTTCCTCGGTGACACTGCATCAAAATACCCAAACCCAGCACAAATAACAGCATCCTCAAATTTTGGAAATTTGCTGCCTCGATAACGATTCAACCACATACCAAATCCACATCGTCGAAGCTGTTCTCGAACCTTCAAGATGTCGGACTCAAAGAATGACAAGGCGTATAAATATCGCCAGGAGATCAGTCAGGTAAGCTTAGAACATTAAGCTGTTTGAGGACCACTCTATCGCTTTGCTGGGCATTCACTTCGCTTTGACTCTCTTGCGCACACCAACAAACATCGACGCCCCAGGCCCCAGGCTTGCTGGCCTAGCCTCGTGATAGCTTGTTCCAATATGTCAGGCCAAGGATATCAACAGCCGTTTCGAAGAGCTCCTGGCTGCAAGTGCAGCGCCGTCAAGGCGTCCAGCCAGCCCGGTTAGCTGGACGAGGCTCAAATCCCGACGATGTCTCTAAGGAGACACCTGCCTTGGCTACTCAAACACACGACACCTAGCTGCTTCCTGAAGGGTCCAAACACTTTCTTCCCCTCCTGTTGGAAGCGCACCCTCCGAAAATCCAACCCGTACTCGAATTCTCTCAAAACTCCAGAAATCACCAGCTTGGCGACATGGAGCGGCTCAAAAGCTTCGGGTTTCCCTACTACCTTCCGGATGTCGGATGTCACTTGAGAGACCTTGTCAGCGGTATTGAGATGGCAATTGGCGTTTTCGAGCAGCTGACTCCCGAGGATGGCAACAGCGAGGTCGAGGGACCTGAGGAGAAACCCAAGCCCCTGCGCCCCTCCAGAGCAGCCAAAGCAGTTTCCGAACGCGTTCAACGCGAATCCTATGAGCTGTTTCAGAGTGCCTTCGACCAAGCGGTCGGCGTTATTCATCCATCTGGTTTCAAATCCATCTCTGATATCCCCGTCACCAATGAAGAGCGAGCCGAGCTTCAGAAGCCCAAGCCCAGGCGTCGTCGAGCTCCCAAACATCGTCCTTTGCCCCCGCTCAAGGAGGGCGAGAAGCGACTCTATGGAATTCATGAGCGAATCGCTAACGTTTTCCGAAAGATGATGTACGTCTCTGGCGAGACTGCAGAGCCGTCTGTCGAAACTACTAGTATGATCGAAGATATTGTTCGTCAGCAGGTTATTGAGCTGGTATGTTGATGCTTTTACCCACTTCCGGCGCTACCACTCTAACCCATTGCTAGCTCAGAAACTGCACAGACCTCGCTGCTCGTCGTGGTTCTCGATCAATCACTATCAATGACTTGATTTTCCAGATCCGCCACGACCAAGCCAAGGTCTCCCGCCTCCGGACCTTCCTCTCGTGGAAGGATGTTCGAAAAAATGTTAAGGATTCCGACGACAAGGGAGGTGAGGCGGATCTCGGTGCCGGCGAAGACCCTGCTGGCGGAGTGATGCCTGGTGGCCCCGTCGATGATGCTGCAAAGAAGAACAAGAAGGCCAAGGTCGGCCTTCCCTGGGAGCCGTCCTCATTCTACAGTCAAGAGGTCCCCGAGCGTGACGATGAGGAGGATGAAGAGGAGGAGGAGATGAACTTCATCACCCTTCAGCGCCTTCGAAAGGCTGATGAGCGTACCAAGGCCATGACCAAGGAGGAGTACGTCACCTGGTCCGAATACCGCCAGGCCTCCTTCACCTACCGCAAGGGCAAGCGCTTCCGCGAGTGGGCTGGTTTTGGAATTGTCACCGACAGCAAGCCTTCTGACGATATTGTGGACATTCTCGGTTTCCTGACGTTCGAGATGGTCCAGACCCTTACCGAGCACGCCCTCAAGGTTAAGGAGCAGGAGGACTTGTTCAAGGCACTCAACGGAGGCGACAATGCCGGCTCGAAGAAGCGAAAGGTCGCGACTGGTCTCTTCGATCCCCCTAGTGAGGGTAGATCCCCGATCGAACCGCGCCATGTTCAGGAGGCTTTCAGACGTCTCCAGCAGCGTCCCAAGAAGACCAGAGCTATGCTCAATGGCTCGAGACTGCCCCAGCACACGGCTCTCAACATCGTACGTTTGTCTGCAATTATCGTGACGCACTATGCTGACCTGTCGCCAGTTCTGATTTGTCTTTCTGGACGAACACGAGCAATCACAAGTACACAAACTGGCTTTTCAATTTGCAACCGTCAATTTCGCGGTTGAGCTTTCTTACGGCACGATGTAAAGATACCCACGGATGGGCTGAATGACTTTGGCGTTGGTGGATCATACTCGCATGCATTTCAGCTGGGGTCCGGGACGGACTGGCCAGGCTAGGCAGGTTTACATGGCAATTCAAGAATAAGAAAAAGTCATGTCGATCCTCAAAGTGAAAACAACATGGAATTGTCCATGACACCGAAATGCGTGACATACGTAGCAGCCGGGATGAAGGACCCGAGTGGCACCTGTCAGTGGTAATTCCTGGGCATTCCCCTGGGCTGCTAGCCCCTAAATCCTGTACGTACCCCCGTCTGCTGCAGACCACCTATCCCTGGTCCATGCCACTTGGGCACAAACGGGACCCCGCAGTGAGGCGCGAGCTCCAGCCATCCCACCTACCTGTCGCGATTAGATAAGGCAGACAGACCCCTTCCGGAGTTCCAAGGTTGTCCTCCACCCTGCTTCAATTTGTCTGCCTTGCGCTGCTCAAGGGTGGCGTCTTTCGCATTCAATCTGTACTGGTCGTCATTCTCTTTCCTCGAACTACACGGACACACGCAACACCATGGCCCCTCCTGTAAACGTCGTCGTGAGTCGTCCCCGCCCATTCCGCATTTACCCCGCCGTTCTGGCGCGATGACGACATGTCCAATGCTAATGATCCCCCTCCGATTAGACGAAGCTCAAGGTCCAGCTGAAGCTGGCAATCGCACGGCTGCGCATGGTCCAGCAGCGCGATGAGCAACTGTCCAAGACGCAACGACGCGCAATGGCGCAGCTCCTCGAGGTGGGCAAGATTGACTCCGCGCGCATCCGGGTCGAGAACATCATCCGCTCCGACATCACGACCGAGCTACACGAGATACTAGAGCTGTACTGCGAACTTCTGATAGCACGCGCAGGGCTTCTCGAAGGTTCAACGTGTGACCCTGGCTTGGAGGAGGCGGTCAAGAGCATCATCTATGCGGCGCCCAAGACGGAGATCAAGGAGCTGCAGGTCGTGCGGACGCTGCTCGCGGAGAAGTATGGCAAGGAGTTCGTAATGACAGCCATGGACAACTCGGATGGCAAGGTGTCAGATAAGGTGGTGAAGAAGCTCAGCGTCGTCCCACCCAAGGAGGAACTGGTGGTCGGGTATCTGGAGGAGATTGCCAAGGCGTACAATGTCGACTGGCCGAAACGGCCACAGGCCGCGGAGCCTCCTGACCTGCTGGACGACGATGACGACGACGACAACCCGAGCGGCGGTATCGGTGTCAAGATACCCGAGGGTCCGTTGGGAAATAGCACAAAGGTAGCCAAGGAACAGGAGGAGCTAAGCAAGGCGACGCCACCGAGGACGATTGGAGGACCTAGCAGCCCGTTGACAGTCACTCCGCCCAGGATGACAACGGACAATGTTCACCCAAAGGTCACGCTCAACTCGCTGGAGCTCAAGCCGAACAAGAAGATGGACGCTGCGGCGCAGAAAAAGCCGCGCGGCAAGGGGCCGGGGGGTAATGTGCCCGATATTACGGAGTTGGAGAGGAGGTTTGCGGCTTTGAAGAGATGACGAATTTATTGCCTTGCAGGACGAGGAGTTGGCAGTCTGATTTGAGGGAATTATCCTTGGTAAGGGCATGCATATTGGTGTTTAGTATTCTCTAGGCATGGCGTAGAATGGACGCGTATTGCGAGCTTGCATCGTCATGCTTCCTTTTCCTCGCAGTTGGTGAGCTCTTTCCCCGATGAAGAGCCGTGGTAATCATTCTATGTCGCTGCGGTTATCTCCATTGCCCCTATGTAGCCTAGGCGTGGCTTGTTATCCAGAAATCGGCGAAAGTGCTTCAAATACCTCCAGGGAGAGACAATCCGCGACGGTGTTGCAGATGGAGGAACCACGGAGGACAGTAGAGTCTGGATAGCAGGACTCGGCCTAATGAAGGAAGTGCTGGCCTCGGTAGGCAGCATGATCGCACCTCGGGCTCCTTGCCGTCTGGACCTTTTTTGTCTCGGGAGTATCAAACGCTCCACTGCAGTCTTCCTGTGGTCGGGCTCCTACCTGCACTGACAAAACTTCTGGCATGAGGTCCTACTACGCGCCTTCTTCCCACCCTTCTCTCACTCACTCAACCCTCGACACCAACTTTTGGGATCGCACTACTTCACATTTGGGGTTGCTTTCTTTCAAATCTCACAAATAACAAAACCTCTCGTTCTGAAGTATCCTGCCCGCGTTGAGTGCAGCTAACGCGCTGTTCCCTTAACCTCATTTCACGTTTGTCGCACTTTCAGCTTGCCTTCACTACACAGTCCTTGTGAAGCTTCACAAACTGCAATACTAATTTTTTTTCAGAAGCGCCTTCGTGCTCTATTCTATACCCTTTTCAGCTGGTTCAAGCACTTGTATCCTCGCTATGTCCCGGGACAAACTTGCTGCTCTGGACTTGATGCCACGAGAACTCCAGGATGTGAGCCAGAGCCGCTTGGAGAGGAAGTTGCTTCGATCCTCGAGGCACGTCATTGACAAGCCCACGTTCCTCGGCATCTACACCAAATGGATGACATTGCAAATTCCAAGACTTGGTTATCACTCCGCCCTTGACTCCACGGTTGTTTACAGAGAAGGTTGTGACTTTTTGGCCCGCGAAGGCTACGACAAGGGACCGGTTCTTGCTTCGTTCTCGAACCACCAGAATGAGTACCTGAAGTGTTTCCCAGATGGTAAGCGGGAGTTCAACTACGCCAGACGCGACATTGAGATCCACTTCAAGAAGCTGGTTGACCAGCCTTGTCGTGCTTCTGTCCATTCTGCTACAGCCACTTCCTCAACCTTCAATGAGCATCTCCTGCAGACCAGAGCTCCTCTATCTTCATCAGCTTCGCAACAGTCGGATTTGCAGAGCAGGCGCTCCAGCTTCGACAAGTCCAAGTACGACGGTGTCAGTAGCGAACGTTTAGAGTGGCTCTCAGCGCAGAACGAAGAAGAGACTATCTTCGTCATGCCTCCTGCTGCAGCGGCTCCAGCCGTCCCTACCGGCGACTACCTGTGCAAGCGCTGCGAGCGACCGGGTACGGATGAAGACAAACCATCAAGCGACTGAATAGCCAGCTGACAAAATCTCACTAGGCCATTTCGTTCAGGATTGCGACACGAACTCCAATCCCTCATTTGACAGCCCTCCTCCCAAGAGTTACGTCTGTCACAACTGTGGTGAAGCCGGAACGCACTACAGAAATGCTTGCCCCATCAAGCCGTCATCAAAGGGACGTTCTCGCAAGAAATCAAAATCCTCGAAGGCAGAACCCGGAAGCGACTCATTTACAAGACGATCCTCTCTGTCCAAGACACTTGGAGGCCCTCAATCGCACCAAACCACTATGGATGCTCAAGACGATCGCTTGGCTCATCAAGCTGCAGCTCCAATGGGTGGAATCTTGCATACACAAGGAGGAGCGGTGACCAGTGCAAGAAACAGAAACCCGTCCGTCCAGCAAACTTCTCGAGGCAGCGACGGCCACATTAATGTGGACAGGACCGCTTTCATTCAGAATTGCACTGATAGATACCGCCCGAGTGCCAATGCCGGAGGAAGCACTGTCCGTTCCCGCAGCAGCAGCATTGCTCCCATCGACGGACGTAGTCGTCGCAGTCGGCGCAACTCGAACCGCCGTCTTGATTCATACCGCCCTGAGACGAAGATGGAGCTGGAGACGGCTAAAAAGGACAGCGACGAGACCGTCACAGGCACTAATACCAGTAGAGGTTCCTTGCAACACTCTCAGTCCTCTATCGCGGCCTCCGATGGTAGACTCTCTCCTTGGAGTGATATTCACACGCCACCAACAAAGCGGGTCCGTCGTGACTCTCCTCCTCCCGCAGGTTTGCCTTGGGATGATGCCGAGTCTCTATTTGAGCAGCCCAATGTCGGTCAACTCAACCAGCCGACCTCTACAACCTCTTTCCCCTCCGGTCAGCAGCATGCCACACAGTTCCAGCCGGTTAACCGAGACGCAATGGAGGAGGATTTCATTCCTCTTACTTCCGAAGAGGAGTGGGAGCAGGCTGGTATTGAGGCCGACGCTTTTCTTGAGAGCTTCGGAATGGAGTTGGCTTCCTACGGCTACGTTCAGCCCTCGTCGACCCCTTCCAACCGTCCGATGCCTTTCACCAGCCCTGGTAGCAACATCACTGGACACAATAACTCCGCTAACGAGTTCGGCCCTGATATCTCCCAGAATACCACCTTCGCTGAAACAGAAGCCGTCATCACGGAGGAATCGAAAGGCAACGACAACGATGATTCGGCCTGTTCGCTGATGAGCTCTCCTGTTCCGCGCGGAGCAATCTCTCCTGACACCGACGGTGATGTTTGCATGACAAACGCTGCTGAGGGCTCTGTCGAGACCCCAACCGAGGGTCAGGCTATCGTCCCATACCAGACGGTGAAGCCTCTCCAGAGAGACCCTCCCTATGACCCTCGCGTCAAGGCACTTTTCCAAGGCCGAGAGCATGAGAACGTGTACGTCAACGTCGCTGGCCGCAACACGGCAATGGATATGTACGAGGACGAGGAGACGCGTGCCGCAAAGCGAATGTCGCGCCTGACCGTCAAAGACTCCGCCTGATCCTAAGGAGATCTTCCTAACACCCGAAAAGCTGAACTGATCGTCAGCAATTAACACTTGCTTATGTTACCAGCCATGCTTGAGGCTGCATCCACCGCTGCGTGAGCATTTTTTGCTCATAGAGGAACTTTTGCCCTATTCTCTAAACGTTCTGCGACATACCGACCCGGCCGTCTCCCGCCTATGCGCATTCGATCCATCCGACTTCTGAGCTCGTGTGCGGTACAAATCAAATTCCGTATGCGGAGGACGATAGTTTAAACGTGCTTATATCCGTTTGCACAACCACAAGAGGCAGGATATCAGGGTTGGGTTCGAAGGGTTGCGCTGCACACCCAGAATTGCTTCTCCTGGGTCTGAAGATAAGGGGAGGCTGGTTTTAAGGTCTGTGCCTAAATACTGCACATTTGGCATCTGGGCGATGGATACGAGGACATACCTCCTAGTTTCGCTTTCAAAAACGGGGACTGACCCCCGAGATACTCGTTCATAGCCTATAGTTTGCCCAAATTCAAAAAGTTTCCATAATTACGAGGAGAACCGACGTCGTGCATGTCGTTCTCAACTGAACTCCAGACTCCAGCATATCCGTACTCCTTTGGCGTCATGGACGAGCCGCAGCGCTGGTCCAAAAGCGGCCCATGAAAAGGTAAGCCTCCCACGTTCCCTTGTCTTTCCTCTTTCCCCCGAGAACGCACGCTCATTTGTCCTCCGCGACGGCGCAGCACATTACTCCAGCTTATCCAGATGCTCCAACCGTGTCAACACAACCTGTTTGCTCGTCTCCTCAATCTCGCCCGCCAAGAAGACCTCGTCCAGGATGGCGTAGACCTTGTAGAAGTTGAACACGAGGTCGAGCTCGCAGACGTTGCCGAAAAAGGCGTCGAGGACCTCGACGAAAAAGTGGATGGCCTCGAGGTAGGCGAGCTCGTTGTCGTTGGTGTCGACGCAGGCGCAGAAAAAGAGACCGGCGTACCGGCGGTAGACGATCTTGTTGTTGCGGAACTCGACAAAGTTGGATTGGTACTTTTGGTCTCGGGGGGCGACGAGGCGGTGGACCTGGACGGCGGACAGAGGACGTTAGCCTTTCTTACCGCGATGGACTGTGACTGAATGGGCTGCTGCCTACCTCGCCCTTGAGCTTAATCTTCTCGTCGTCGCTGTATGGTGCGTACCACTTGGCCAAACGGGTCTTGCCCCTGATCATAGCATGTCAGTCAGCAAGAACCTCTTTGGATCGCAGGAGGAGTGGACTGGGTTGCACAGAAACATACTGGCGATTCTGGATCAGGATGAAGGACAGCATCTTTACGGTTCAGATATTCGCATGTCCCTAGTGGTCTTGAATGTTCTCCCTTTCCACCCCGCGCGTCGCAGAGGTTTGAGATGTGAAGTCGGCGGACACGGAGCTCGGGGGGTGCGGGTGGTACGTACCGGCATGCCTTCCGCCGGTGCTGCTCTGCAGAGCACCTTCCAAAGTTTCTGTTTCCCCTGGGCAAGCGGTACCGGTGGGTCCTACTTTGGCCTCAACCCAGGCAGGTGCGCACTAGCACAAATGCAGAAAGGAGGGAGCACCTCAGGGTCGCAATAGGTACGTACCGCGGCTGATTGGGGGCCCCACTCCAGCTGCCAGGGAACGGGTATAAAATTCTCTCGACCCCCCCGCCGTCTTTCGAAATTTCTCTCCTTTTTCTTCTCCATCCGAGTGCAAGGGCTTTACGCGTATCAGTGAGGATTCGTCCGAGATCGTGTTTTTGCTAGTTGAAAACTATAACTATGACCACTCCTAGTTGGCTTCGGCTGGCTAGGGAATTTTTGGAACCCTTTTAATCTTCTGGATAGAGAAGACAAAATTTCTTTTGCTTTCATTGCTTGCGGCACCCGCCTTGGGCCGTAGTGAAGAAGGTTGATCGGAATATGCACACGAACCGCGGAGGCGTCGAGGAGCTTGGCGTTGGTGGCTACTGTCCTGTTTCTATAGCTGTCTTCTGAGAGTTTCAGCGTGAGGCTGTCGCGTCGCTTGCGACACGGCTGACGCGAGATTTGGCCTCACGATGTCGACTTGTACTGGTATGACCTCCACCCACGAAGGGGAAGCTTCGATGATTGTCTGCGGTTCCGTTGCATAGTGCGTAGTAGCTGAGACAAAAGTGCGAGTTACGATGTCGTTCCTGTTCTACGCTACCTCACCCTGTCCAACGCTTCGTTCCAACACCTTGATGCCTGAAAGAACACCACGATTCAGATAGGTCCGCACATGCCGCATTCCATTGAGGATCGCCAGTTCCCTGCTCATTCAGTGGGCTTTCGCACTTCACCCACATGCTTCAAACCAACACTTGATGGGCTCTGACAAGATGATTTAATCCACATCATCGCCAGATTATCTGAGCCCGGGAATCGACGAACGAGGTTGATCTTGCCGCAGCCGCATATCTCACGTACCCTTGTTGATTGCCCTATTCCTGTCTCTTGGGGCAAACTGTGAAGGCATACTTCCAAGCCAAGCAGATCAGAGGACGAACACCAGGCTCAGAAGGAGCTACGAATGGGACGCCTGCCAGAGCTTTGACAGCGGCGATGGAGCGGGTTGAGAAGACGCTGGGCGGTTGGCGCAAGTCCTTTCACCTGGCACCCTGCGCTCACACCTGATCCGAAAGCTGGCCTCCAGGACAATTGATGGGAGCTGAAGTAGTTAAAGTTATCTTCGATCAGAATGGAACATCCATCGGTGTCTATGCGGAAGGCCAAGTGACAGAGCCTCGCCAGATCAGTCGAATCTCTTCTTTGTAGTTTCTTTTTTCCCAATAGGCTGTCAAATCCTAGGCAATCTAGGTCTGCCTCTGTCAAATAGCCCACCTGCTTGGTGTTCCCTGTGGGCATCGTCGTGTTGATTCGTTATTGGTTCCTCCAGCGCGGAGCATACGAGATAAGGCAGTCGAATTCTGCCATCTGGTCAACGTGAAGCCTACTGCTACCCCTGTCCTCCTGCATTCGTCCACATCAGCCGAACGCAACTGGGAGAGACTATACTCTGGACTAGAGTACGCAACATATATAGTCGTCTAAGATCTAGCTTGCACCGGGAACATCGTTGCACCAAGTTTGCAACAAGCTGGCAGAACATATCAAGGTCGATTACAATAATTCTCAGACTTGGTGGTGCGTCCAGTAGATGTCGTGTCTCACGAACAAGCTGCGATTCAAAGCACCTTACCGACTCTCTGTATCTTTGCCTGATTTCTTCGGTGTTGTCCAGTTTGATGTGGATTTTTCGAAATTTGAAGTTGGCTGCCGCCTTATCATACATTGTTGATGAGTTGGGTTAGGACAGCAAACCCAAGTCCGGGTGGCCATGGAGTACAGAGCGAGGAAGCAAACCCTAGCAACTGTCTACCTGTGTAGTCTATCTCAGAGCAAACGCTTTTCATGGATTGTAAACCAGACCCCAACGTTGGTGCTCTTACAACCTCGGATGGTCTTCCGCACTCGCACGGGAAGCTTCCCATGCCCGCTATCTACCAGAATTGAACAGTTCAAACCCGGATCCCCTCCATCCCCAGGCTACAACATAATGGTCGGCAAGCAGCTTCCACTCCTCCACCTCATCCAGCCCCTCCAGTCGGTCAACCCTTTCCTTCTCGTCTGACGACACCCACCGTTCCCAGATCCGCTCGACTGTTAACGCGTTGGCATGCTCGAAGCCAGTGTCGCGAAGGCGTTGTTCTTGGTCCTGCGGTAACTTGTAGCTCTCCAATGTCGGCATACGAATCCGTCTTGCCGCCAGGTTGGACGTCATCATTTTGCCAAAGGGGTCGTCGGGCCTGATGGGTTCGTAAATGATGATGCCGAGGTCGGGAATCTTCTGCTCGAACCACGAGATGAGGTCCTTCGTTGCGGATGTTTCCAGGTAACACAGGCAACACTCAGATATCAAGAGAGTCGGAATGTCCGTTCGGAGTCCCTTGAGGGTTGGTGCGCCGGGCTGGACGAGCTCTCTAAGATCGCGTGCGTGGCAGTAGTAGCTATCGGAAGCTGAAGGCTGACAGCTCCACGAACCGTCCTCCTCCGATGAAGGGTTACCGAGGATTTGACGCAGAGGGGGTACGCCCTGAACTATGCGGGCCTTCTTTCGCACCGTCACGGCAAAGTCCAGCTCATGATAGACTAGTCCCGGCCGGTCGGTCCTTGGGAAAAGTCTAAAGGGGCGAGTGTCGGTCCCGGCGCCGATAGAGACGATTTGCTTCTGCTTCGGCCCGTCGCCCGAACCACCGGCTTCCGATAAAAAGCTGTCGACAAGGCTGTCGAGAGCAACGGTTCTCGTGTAAGTGCCTGGGATAGAGGTCAGCCTCCATGCTCGACGGAAGCAGACCCTGGACAACACGGACCTCGGTTGATGATGGGTAGTCTCCTGGGAGGCGGTCCAGCCATGCCGTCGACGAAGAAGCGGGCGTACGGGTCCTCTAGGTATCCCACATTGACGGCGCTAAGACGTGATCCGGCGGCATCGTCGTCGGTGCCCTGGATGGTTTGGTCATGTGTCGGACCCGCGGAGGAAGGTCCGCCGCCTGGGCCGCCTCTTCCGCGCCCGCGACCGGGTCGGCCTCCCCTTGCTCCGCGGAGGGACAGCAGATTTGGTATCGCGTTGCCGGACATGGAATTCAGACGTGATTTGAGTCAGGAGTTGAAGAGATGCAAGCTGCTCCGAGGGGTCGATGCGGGTGACGTATGGTGGGAGTTGCGATGTGGGGAATTGGAGTACAAACAGAGTTGTACCTGGCAGTCCATGTCACCAGTCTCGGCGCACAGTCCACTTAGTCGCATCAGTGGACCGCAGCTCTTCTGCACCTGGGACTCGCTGGGTGCACTGGACCCTGAATCAGTGGCTTGAATTGCCGTTTCAAGCCCCGCCAGGAAGCAGACGGCTTCAAGTCTCACCTTGAACAGAACTTTGCCTGCCAAGCCGGACATGACTGACAAACCTGATGTCCAGAATGCATTTTGAACAGACCAAACGGTTTGGCGACGGCAGTTGTCAAGGAAAGCCCCCGACACGGGAACCGGCTCGGGTGGCCGGCGTGTATCGCGTAACTGCGTTGGGAAGGGAAGCGAGCCGAATCCTACCGGCTGCGTCGGCGTTTGCTGATGAACGGTACTTTTTAGTTCGCCATGCCAGGCGAATCATGGCAGATCGCGGCGCGGATGTGTACTTTTCCCCATTCCAGCTGGCAATAATAGGGCGAGCTGAACGGCGGGCATGATGAACGTCGGGTCAGGCAATGTAGGGCGTCCAATATCTCGGACGAAACAGTGTTTCCGACTTGTTTCTATCAATAACTGATCCCAACAATGCCGGACGAGGAGGGTTGGTCGAGAAGGCCTCCGAGACGGGACTTACTCGAACACAGTAAAAACTCAGAGTACGAGGTTTCATCCAGATTTCAGACGTGAACAGTCCCGCCTTGCTACAAGCACCCGTATTCACGATGCTGTACGTACACAGCAAAACGCCTCCAGGCCAACTGGCCACAGAGCCTCGCCAATAAATCAACTTGAACGGCCGTCCGCGTTCGCGATGTCGCGAGTCCATTTGTCCAGCGGCTAGCTAGACTGATGCCATGGCCGCCTCCAACGCAGGAAACAGACATGGTTGGGAGTCATTCCAGCAGCCCTGCCCAAGTCTGCCTAGTCAAATCGACCTGGACACGACATCGGAAGGCCGTCTGCGCGACTTCGCTGGGCGTTTGGAGGCGAAAGGATCTGTCGGCGGGGGGCACGGCGTGGCTGTGTCAGCCTGCTGCCTGCTAAAACTGCCCGCTACGGCACTAATCGAGGTGAGGTCGTTGTAGGCCGGGGGGGGGGGTGAAGGGGGGAACACATACCACACCGGGCACCGACCACTCATAGACTTTCTCTCTGAAGCAGCGCAGTGGCACTGGTCCATGGATTTAATAAACCGAATCCCAGCGCCCCCAATCTGCTTCAACTTTTAACGTCGGACACCCCTCTCGCCTGCCCTGTCGTTTGTTTCCTCTCTCTTTCCTTCATCATCACAATTAGACACCATCGTCAACCCCGTTTCCTTTATCGCAAAACTTGGTTTATTTGATCGTCAGATAAACCGCCAAGATGATGCACCACATCGCCAGCGCGGTGTACAAACGCGCCACCGAGGGCCAGCAGCCAAACGACCTGCCCCCGTGGTCTATTGCAGTCTTCCTCGCTGACTTCATTGTCTTCCTTCCCGTCCTTCTCCTTGTAAGCTTCCCTTCCCGAAAAAAGCAAACAGGCTCAAACGACTAACACCTTCGCAGTTGACCTACACCCTCCAGCAGGTCTACCCCATCTTCACCATCGTCGAGGATGAGAACCCCCCGGCTTACGACCCGGTTAACCTCAACGAGGACGAAGCCGCCGATGTTCCCGGCGTCGGCCCCATCCCGTCCAAGGTCACCGGCGGCCGCCCCACCACCGTCACCTCCTCCCTCCGCTCCATCAACCGCCTCCTGATGGCCAACGGCGGCTGGCGCGCAAACTTCCGCGGCTTCTTCTGCATGGTTGCCCAGGCTCTGGCCACTGGCGCCCTCTACGGCATCTTCTCCGCCTTCCTCCCCAATATCCTCGCCTCCGTCGCGACCCTCCTCGCCGCCCTGTCGCTCGTCCAGCTCAGCACCGCTTGGGTCCACATCGTCATCACTCCCCAGTCCCCTCTGCACTTCTGGTCTCGCCTCCCTCCCTTCAAGCGCACCTTCGAAGCCACCGCCCGCCCCGTCGCCGCCTTCTGGCTCGCCTCCCTGGTCGCCACCTGGGTCCCCATCGCCGTCGGCTGGGCTCTCGGCCTCGACCTCCCCAACTTCCGCTTCGGCGCCCCCACGACCACCGTCCCCGGCACCGAGGGCAGCCCCAGCGACGCCTGGAAGAGCGTCGTCATCACGCTCATCAGCCTCGCCTTCCACGTTCTGGTCGTCATCCCCGCCGAGGTCGTCCTCGTCCGTGTCCAGGCTTCGCTGCTCCCCGAGGAGGCCGACACCGTCATCCCCTTCGACCGCTCCTTCGAGGGCAAGGTCGAGCCCCGCGTCGTCGGCGGCAAGGGCTATGCGACCATGGCCGTCGCCTGGGCCACCTACTCGCACGCTGCCTGGAAGCGCCTTGTCATCCTCTACGTCAAGATCTTCGCCGTCTGCATCGTGACCTTCCTTGTGATGGCGGCCATCGTTGTGCCTGAGGTTATTCTCATGATGAAGGCTTCCAAGCACTAAGCTGCGGCCAGCCGGCGATTTGGTCACCCCGCGGCTCTAGGTTGTCATGACTCGACAACTTGGAACTCAAGCTGTGGATAGACTCAAACAAATTCTTGGCAACTCCGCGCCAGCATTTTCTGTGTACTTGTACTTTTGCTCAGGAAGCAGGACATTAGCATCGGGGAACAGATGGGTTACTACTGCTTGCTTATTGGCATCATCTGGATGCTTGTGCACAGGCACACCACTCCCGCAATACCCTCCCCACTCAGCTGAGTCTGGGGTAGCATTTTTCATAGCACTTCACACAGAAATTGAAATTACAATGATCAGTCAGGGTAAACCAGAGTTGAGTATCTAGTGTCATTAGCCGTCAAATTTCTTTGGGTTCGTAAGTGAGGTCCGTCGTGTCATGGCAACAACTCCCTCATAACTAAGCAGCGGCGGCACACACGCCGTTTTGGCCGTCTTCTCGTCATCCATCATACTCTGCTCATTCCCACCCAGCCTTTGTCTCTTTCTTCCTCTCCACACCCACACACCTCAAGAGCCTTTGTCGTATACTCGTGTATATCCGCTCTTGCCTTAACACCTGCGACTAAAACAAAAAAGACAAAGGCCTCCCAGAACTGCTTGTCTCGAGCAAAATCCAACTGCGTGAACCGATCCGATCCGTGGAAGAAGAACAAGACCTCCCTTACTAATCATGTGGCCCATGTCTGTGAATCTTGCCGTCTAATCAACTTCTCTTCCAGTATAATGACCAAAGAAAATTGAATTTGCGAGGCAGAGCAGCAGGAAAAGAGTATGAAAGAACAGCCGCCGCCAGATCAACACAGCGGGGGTATAGCGGTCTAGTCCGCGCCGAGCTGTTGTCTAATCACATACTTTGTCGTTTCTATGGGTGCGCACACCCTTTGACGTTTCGGAAGATGGGCGTCGAGGGTTAGTGAGCTACGAGATGTTCTTAGGACTTCTGGGAGAAGAACCAGCTGCTGCGCTTGCTAGAGCCGCCCTCATTCTGCTGGATGCTGGAGATGACGGGGATGGAAGGTCCCTGGTTGTCACCACCACCACCGCGGAGGGGCTTGGCAATGCGGCTGCCTGCGCCCGAGAAGCTAAATCCTCCGATAGAGGGCGAGTTCAGGCCACGAGTGCTGCCAGCCTTGGCAGCCTCCAACCTTTCCTTGACGGCAGCGAGCTGTACTTCAAATCTACAAGACACCAGTCGTTAGAATTGAGACATGAATTAAGGATGGAAAAGGAAACGTGTGGGATTCTCCCTATTTTGTTCACGGGAGGTTTGACTGGGGTTGGGGTACTAAAAGAAGGGACAGGGGTCGCTGGGGTTTCATACTTGTGGTTGGCCGAAGCCATCTTCTCCTGGCTATCCTGTAGCAGGCTCTCGAGGCTCTGGATGCGCTCGTTGCGGGCAATTAGCTTACGCTCAGCGATGGCGACCTCCTTCTTGAGTGCCGAGTTCTGTTCGACCAGCTGGCGCTGGACCTGGGTGAGCTGCTCCAGGTTCCTCTCGAGGAAGGCCATCTTCTTCTGCTGGGCCCGGTTGTTGGATGACCTGAGCACATTGTTATATTGCTCTCTCGTCTCATCAAGCGAGATCTCAAGCTCGACAACGCGCTCGCAGCGGTTCTGAAGATCGCGCATGAGGCTCTTCTTCATGATGTCGAATTCGGCAATCTGCTGCTGAATGGACTTGCCGTTGGTCGTGGGCGCAGCAGTGCCGGCCTTGACTCTCTGCTGGAGATCCTCAATGAGAGCCTTCATCTTGGAGTTCTCAGCGGCCTTCTGGGCAATCTCGGCCTTGAGCTCGTCGACCAGCTGCATGGAGGTGGTCTGCTTGTCGGCATAGGCGCTCTCCAAGCGGGCCTTGATCTCCTCAACATCGGTATCTCCCAGGTTACGGGTGAGAAGCTCCTCGTACTCCTGCTGGAGGGTCTGGAGGCGATCCTCAAGCTCAGCACGACGACGGGCGTCCGCCTCGCTCGAGGAAGCGCTGTACACAGAAAGCTCGGCTTGACGGACGATTCCTTGAATCTCGACGAATCGGGACTTGAGCGCCTTAAGCTCGTCAGGGTTGACGATCTCGCCAGTCGCGCTGACCTCATGTAGGGCGTCCAGCTGGGCGATGGCCTCCGTAATGGCCTTCTCGTTGTCGCTGAACACATCGGCGCCGAGGTCGAAGCCGGCCATCATCTTGGCCATCTTCTCAGCCTTCTTCTTCTCCTTCTCATCGAGGACCGCGCTGGTCTCCTTGGCACTCATCTTCACGTCGAGGAGCTGCTGCTTGACCTCATCGAGCTCCGTAGTCAGCTCGGCGTTCTGCTCCTTCAGAGCGTCCATGGTGATCTGTGCCTCCTTGCCCTCGAAGTGCAGACGCTCGAGCTGCATCTTGAC